AGGGGTCTCACCTGTCCCAAATCTCCCCCCCCCCAGTACAAAAGGTGCAGTTTGCCCACGACACGTCACACCTGCAGAGCGGGTTGGGGGCGATCCCTGTGTTTTAGGGGTGATTCCTCCATTCTGGGGGGCTCCCCTGGATCCAGCATTTTGGGGCGGGGTCTCACCTGTCCCCCCCCGTGTCCCCCCCGTGTCCCCCCGCAGTCCGGAAGGTGCAGTTTGCGCACGACGAGCGCCACCTGCTGGCGTGCTGCTCTCTGGACGGGACGCTCTCCGTTTGCCGCCTGGCGCCGGGGCCCCCGGCCGTGCTGCGGCGGCTCCGCGGCCACGGCGCCGGCGTCTCCGACTTCGCCTGGTCCCTGTCCAACGACGTGCTCGTGTCCGCCTCGCTGGACGCCACCCTGCGCCTCTGGGACCCCTCGGACGGGCGCTGCATCCGCAGGGTGCCCGACCCCGACGGCGCCGAGCTGCTGTGCTGTGCCTTCCAGCCGCTCAATAACAACCTGACTGTGGTGAGAGAAACCCCGAAACCACCCTGAAACCATCCCGGAATTATCCTGAAATTATCCTGGAATTGTCCTGGAATCATCCTGAAATTATCCTGAAATTATCCTGAAATTATCCTGAAATCCCCCCCAAACCCAGCCCTGCCCTGCAGCCGCTCAGCACCAGCCTGGCTGTGGTGGGAGAGAACAAAACTCACCCCAAAATCACCCCAAAATCTCCCCAAAATCCCACAGAGACCCCCGAGAACACCCCCAGCACCCCCCGGGTGCCCTGGGGGTCTGAGGTGCAGATCTGGGGGGGATTTTGGGGGTCTCAGGATGGGTTTGGGGGTCCCAGGATGGGTTTGGGGATTTCAGGGCGATTTTGGAGAGGATTTTGGGGAGAATTTTGAAGGTCTCGGGGGGATTTTGGGGAGGATTTTCGGGACCTTGGGGCGATTTGAGGATGATTTTGAGGCAGATTCTGGGGGGATTTTGAGGGGGATTCTGATGGAATTTTGGGGAGGATTTGGGGGGTCTGGGGGGGATTTTGGGGAGGATTTTGGGGATGATTGTGGGGGTGTCGGGGTGCATTGTGGGGTCTCCCCGCGCCCCCCAGGTGGGCAGTGCCCGGCACATGGTTCGGGTCGTCAACATCTCCACGGGGAAGGCGGCGCGGGGCGGCACCGGGCGCCTCCCCGGGCGAGTCCTCGCCCTCTGCTTCGATGCCCCCGGGCGAGTTCTTTGGGCTGGCGACGATCGGGGCTCGGTGTCCTCGTTCCTGTGCGACCCCGGGACTGGTACGGGGCACTGGGAGCGACTGGGAGGGGTTGGGGGGCACCGGGAGGGAATCGGGGGGCACTGGAAGGGGATTGGGAAGGGACTGGGGAGCACTGGGAGGGATTGGGAAGGGACTGGGAGCACTGGGAGAGAATTCGGGGGCACTGGGAGGGACTCAGAGAGGATTTGGGAGCACTGGGTAGTACTGGGAGGGCACTGGGCCATACTGGGGTTTTACTGGGAGAGACTGGGAAGGGATTTGGGGGCACTGGGAAGGATTGGGACACTCCCAGGGGGCACTGGGCCATACTGGGAGGGCACTGGGCCATACTGGGAATGTCACTCCCCCTAAGGCGTTTGACCAAGGCCTGCGGGGTGCTGGTCCAGGAGGGGCTGGGGGTCACTGGGGGGCACTGGGAGGTGACTGGTCCATACTGGTCCATACTGGTCCCCCAGGCCGGCTGACCAAGGCCTCCCGGGTGCTGGTCCAGGCCGGGGGCTCCATCACTTCTCTCTCTGCCCGGGCCTGGGCGAGCCGGGAGGCTCCGGACCCGTCCCTGCTGGTGAACGCGTGCCCCGACAGACTGCTGCTCTTCCGGTGTGGGGACACGGGGGGACACCGGGGGGGACGGGGGGAGACCAGGGGACACCCAGGGGACACCCAGGGGGGCTTTGGGGGGCTGGGGGCCGGGGTGAACCGGACCAGGCAATGCCGGTCCCCGCAGATCGCTGCTCCTCCGGTGTGGGGAGGGGGCCTGGGGACCCTTCAGGGGGCACTGGGGACATCGGGGGAGAAAAGGGCCCCGGGGGAATTTAGGGGCAGTTTTGGGGTTTTTTTGGGGTTTTTTTTGGGTTTTTTTGGGGTGTCTCTGACCCCTTTCCCCTCCCAGGGTGGTGGAGGACGAGGGCGGCTCGGGGGCCCCGGGGCTGCGGCTCCGGCGCAGTTTCCCCACGCGGCACCGGGAGCAGCCCCTGAGGAGCTGCTTCTGTCCCCTGATGTCCTTCCGGCAGGGAGCCTGCGTGGGTGAGCGACTGGGGGGACTGGGAGCGACTGGGAGGGGACTGGGAGGGGTTTAGGGGGGACTGGGGGGGGCCCAGGGACAGCCCCCAGCCCCCAGCCCTGTCCCCGTTGTGTCCCCGTTGTCCCCTCATTGTCCCTGTCCCCGCAGTGACGGGCAGCGAGGGGCTCAGTGTGGTCCCCCAATGTCCCCATTGTGTCCCCAATGTCCCCGTTGTGTCCCTGTCCCCGCAGTGACGGGCAGCGAGGACGCCTCCGTGCATTTTTTCGACGTCGGCCGCGCCGCCCGGGCCACCGTGAACACCCTGCAGGGCCACGGGGCCGCCGTGCTCGCCGTGGCTTTCAACTGCGACGAGTCCCTGCTGGCCTCGGGCGACGCCGGCGGCACCGTCATCGTCTGGCGCCGGCAGCACGCCTGAGGCGCCCCAAATACCCCAAAATCCCCCCAAAACCACCCCAAAATACCCTGAAATACACCCAAAATCCGGGGGGGATCCTGAAACCCCCAAAATCCGCGGGTGGAGGGGGTGAAACCCACGGGGGAATCCTGAAATCCGCTTGGAAATAACCCCAAGATCCCCAGGAAAACTCCAGAATCCATGGGGAAATCCCCGAAGAAATCCTGAAATTCCACAGGGAAAACCCTGAAATCCCCGGGGAAATCCCGGAATCCGCTTTGGAATAACCCAAAAAAATCACCCTGAAATGTGGCAGCGTGGGCTCAGAGCGTGCAGAGTTTGTGGGACTTGTGTGGCACCAAAATCTTCCCAAAAAAACCCAAAATCCTTCCCAAAACCTTCCCCAAACCGTCCCCAAAATCCTTCTGAACCTTTTCCAAATTCTCCCCAAAGCCACCCTGGAATCTCTTCAAAAATACCCAAAAATTCCCCCCAAAGTCCCAAAATTTCCCCAAAATTCCCCTCAATCCCCCCAGCCTCGTTCGGGAGGTCCGACCCCAAAATCTCCAGACCCCTCCTGGACACCCCAAACTTCACCTGGAACCCCAGAACCCACCTGGACTCCCAGAACTCCCCCTCAAACATTCACCCGGGCCCCCAAAACCTTCCCAAACCCCACCTGGACCCCCCAAATTCCCCCTCAGTCCCCCCCAAACCCCTCCCACCCCCCCGGGCGCTGTGGCAGCAGCGCAGGCGCGGCCCAGGTGTTTGAGAACACTGGAGACGTGGCCCAGGTGTGGCCCAGGTGCGGCCCAGGTGTTTCAGAACAGGAACTTGCGGCACGAGGCCGCCCCACACTTGCACTCGATGCGGCCGCGGGCGCGGGGGGAGCCCCCCAGGGACCCCCCCACCAGCCCGAAGTTGGAGTCCATGCGGGTGCTCTCGGCGTCCACGGGGTCCACTGCGGGAAAAGGGGCGTGGTCAGGGGCCAGGTGTGGCCAGGTGTGGCCCTGACCCTCCCAGGTGTGGCCAGGTGACAGATGTGTGACAGGAACTGGTGTGTCCCAGGTGTGTTACAGGTGTCCCAGGGGTGTCCCAGGTGTCCCCCAGGGGTGTCCCAGGTGCCCCAGGGGTGTCCCAGGTGCCCCAGGTGTCCCCTAGGTGTGTCCCAGGTGTGCCCCAGGTGTGCCCCAGGTGTGTCCCAGGTGTGTTACCGTGCATGTTGTAGTCAAAGGTGAGCTCCTCCCCGGCCCGGATGGGTCTGGTTGCAAACAGAGCGATGCGGGGCAGGCGCTGGTCCAGGTTCTCGATGAACACGTTGTACACCTGCAGGTTGGGGTCACACTGCCCCCCCCGACAGGTGAGCCACACCTGGCAGGTGAGACCCGCCCCCCCAGGTGAGCCACACCCACACCTGAGCCCAGGTAAGCCCACACCTGAGCCCAGGTAAGCCCACACCTGAGCCCAGGTAAGCCGCACTCACGCTGTGGTTGACGAAGTGCGAGATGTTGCCGTAGTGGGCGGCGTCCACGGTGTACACGTCCTCCACGTAGTCCAGGTCGAACAGGTACGTGGCGCCCTGGCGGTCGTACACCTGTCCCCGGCGCTCGGCCTCCTCCGAGGTGATGATCTGAGCCAGGGACACACCTGGGTCACACCTGGGGTCACCTGAACCACCCCACACACCTGGGACACACCTGTACCATTCATACCTGCACAATGTCACACCTGGGGTCACCTGAACCCACACCACAAACCTGAGGCACACACCTGCACCATGTCACACCTAGGCCACACTGGAACCTATCCCACACACACCTGTACACACCTGTACTGTGTCACACACACCTGTACTGTGTCACACACACCTGTACACACCTGTCACGCCCGCACTCACCTCGCCCACGTACTCCATGACGAAGGAGTTCTTGCGGATGCGCTGCAGGGTGCGCACTCCCCAGCCGCGCCCGTCGCCGGTGCGGAAGATGCACAGGTCGTAGCGGATGCCGCGCTGCACCACGCGGTTCGGGCACTCGGCGCCGCAGCGGCACCTGGAGTTGCACTCGTAGATCGGCAGCCCCGCCCTGATCCTCACCTGCCCGGCCTCGTTGTAGGCGAACCTGTTGTGCGACGCGCCCGGGCAACACCCCCCGGCCAGGGTGGCCTCGGCCAGGCAATCCCGGCACTCGCAACCTGCGGCCACCGGCGTGAGCGTCACACCCGCGCCCACCTTGTACTCGTTGACGTAGACGAAGTCGCGGGGGGGCCCGTGCAGGTCGACCTCGTTCTCCACGGCGATGCGGCCGCGGTGGCTGCGGGTGCGGTTCAGGTGACGCTCCCACCTGCGCAGGGCTCGGCGCTGCTCGGCCTTTTGGGCCAGGTAAGACACGGCTCGGGCAGGTAAGCCGCGAGGGCCGGGCCGGACGGGGCCGCCAGGTGCCTTGGCCAGGTCGGAGTGCAGTTGTTGCAGGAGGCCGCGGCAGCGCAGGTTGCGGCGCGGCTCCCAGGTGTTGGCGGAGGGGGGGTACCCGCGCCACTTCACCAGGTAAAATTCCTCGTCCTGACGGGAGGGAAGGGGTTAATGGGGGGGGGGGTTTGTGAGGGGGGTCCTGGAGTGACCCCAAAGTTCACGGGGGGCGTCTTTGGGTCAGGGGGGTCCCGGAGTGACCCCGAAGCTCCCAGGGGTCTCTTTGGGTCCTGGAGTGACCCCAATGTCCAGGGACCCTTTGGGGTCTCTGTGGGTCAGGGGCACTTTGGGGTCCCAGGCCATGTGGGGTGTCACAGGAAATTCGGGGACATCAAAGGACACCCCAGGGTCCCTGTGGGGTCTCACGAGCTGTGGGGGGTCCTGGGGTCACCGGGGGGTCCTGGGGGGTCTCAGGGTCACCAGTGCAGCCCTGTTTGCCCCCAGTCTCCATAGTGGGGGGGTCCCGGGTCAGTTCTGGGTTTGGGGGTCCCAGTTTGGGGATCTTGGGTCAGTTCTGGGTTCCGGGGGGTCCTGGTTCAGGGGGTTCCCGGTTCGGGGGTCCCGGTTTGGGGTTCCCGGTTCAGTTCCCGGTTTGGGGTTCCCGGTTTGGGGTTCCCGGTTCGGTTCCCGGTTTGGGGGTCCCGGTTTGGGGTTCCCGGTTCGGTTCCCGGTTTGGGGGTCCCGGTTTGGGGGTCCCGGTTCGGGGGTCCCGGTTCGGTTCCCGGTTCGGGGGGGTGGTCCCGTGTCCCCTCACCCTCACTCTCCGGTAGTCGCACAGCAGCTCCACCTCGAAGTCGCCGAGGTTGCGGCGGGTGACGCCGAGGGCGCGGCACCGCACGCGCTGCAGCCGGCACAGGTCCTGCAGGCGCGGCCACGGCGAGAGGCAGCACACGGAGCACTCTGGGCAGCGTCCGCCAGGGCGGCGCCAGCGCGGCCGGGGCA